ACATGGGAATTTCCAGAAAGGGCTCCCCTATCAAATATTTTCCCCATCCACAGTTCTGCCCACAGCGTTGAGCTCCTGTGGGTGTTCAAAATGCCCAAATGCCCAGCTCGCCAAAAAAACACCTCACAGCCCCAAAGTTGCAACAATATGGTCTTGTGCAAATGCAGTCCTGACTTTGAGTGGGCTCTGTGCCTGCCAATTGGTAGCAGCCCCATGCGACAACACACAAAGAGATCCTTGTATCAGAGGGACGTTCACAGTTCCAGGTGGCCAGAGGACCAAACAGGAGGACCTGCGTGGTGCTTTACATCTGTGTGCCTCCCAGCCACAAAGATCCAGTGCATATGCTAGCAAATCCTAACAGCGCGCGTTTGTTCTCCAGGAACCAGTGGAAGTTTTCCATTTCTGGCCTCATTCATCTGTGGCCTCTGCCCCTCCTCACAGGGTCTTTCTTTAGTCATGCTGTGCAAGCAGCTCCTGTGTATACCAAAAGTTAATTTTACTACATACTTCAGTGTGTTGCTGGAGGTGCAATAAATCACAAACCAATTTCCAATTTTGTTATGCCTTACTTGATAAGGATGTGAAGCATTCTCTCCTGCGATATACATGTTTTTAAACATGAGGATTAGGAGCAGGAACACATCTCTTGATACATGCTTCTTTTTCAGGAGAAGTTTGACCCCTGTAGGTCCCATTAGAAGCTGCCTATTGGCGCTGCTGCTGCAGAGGACCTCTTAAGCAAAGTTGGTTTTATTTTCTTCTTTTTTGCAATTTCAGCAAATAAATTCCTCCAGATAAAGTACAAGTTGTTGGAGCAGTGTTGCTCTGAATTGAGTTGCATTTTTTAAAGGTGCAGAATAAAATTTATATGTATTTTTAAAGCTGTAGGCTCATTCTTGGACATAAAGAGACTTCCGTATCCTTTCTATAATTTTACTTTTTTAATTAAAAATAAAATATATGACTTTATAGGAAAAAACATGATGTTTTGATATATGTATATATTGCGGACTGGCTCCATCAAGCTACTTAACACATGAATTACTTCATATAGTGATTTTGTGGCAAGAACACTTCAAATCTACTCAGCATTTTTCAGATATACAATACTTATTATTAACTCTATCTACTTATTTTTAACTCATTATGATATATAAAAGATCTGTGGAATTTACTCCTCCCATCTAACTGAAATTTTGTATCCTTTGTCTCTCCCCAATCCTTCCAGCCCCAGTCCCTGGTAACAACCATTTTATACTGTAACAGTTTGAATTTTTACACTCTCCATATCGGTGAGATAATGTATTTATCTGCCTTTCTGTGCCTGATTTATTTCTTAGCCTGATTTATTTATTAGCATAATGTCCTCCAGACTTCTCAAAGATATTAACAATAACAGGATTTCCTTTTTTAAGGCTCACTAGTATTCTATTGCACACATGCACCACATTTTCTTTGTCTATTTGTCGATGGACACTTAGGCTGAGACTCAGTTTTGGCTGTGAAGTGAAGCCCACTATCATTTCAAACTCAGTTCAAGTCAATTCAATAACCATTTATTGAAGTCCTACTTTGCTGGAGACTGAGGTAGAAACATGAGTAAGATCTAAGCTCCTGACTTCAAGGACAGAAGCTTGTATTTGAATGGAGTACAGTTGGCCTTATATCTTCAAAACTAATCATCTATAGTTTTGGGGTTAGAAGCAGGCATGAGTTATCACTGCTTACCTTTCTCTGTTCCTTCAAGCCACCCAAGAATAGCAAGTGCCTTCCTATGTGAGCCCCACTGTTTTCAAGGTGTGAGAAAATGTCCATAATATGTAAGCAACTCACAAAGAAGACTAAGCAGATGTGCACAATGATTAGTATTGCAATCAAATAAATCTTACAACCAAGTTGATGTGGCACACATTTGATGATATGCATAATCATTATCATGCAGCCTGGTAATTAAGGATAATTGGTAAATAATTCATGTAAATTACTGTAATTGATACAGCCTTGCAGTTAAGCCAAGCATTTCTCGGGTCAGCTGAGTGGAGTGAGAACAAGCTTCTCAAATGAAACACCCTGGATCTGCTCACACAGAGGACCTCTAGCCCTTGCTCCATGGAACCTCCCATCCCATAGTCTTATGCTTCCCAGGAACCCCAAACTCACAGCTGAACCCACCCCCAGGGCTTCCCAGTTCTGATGTTTCCTAGGTTTACAGAGGCACTGGAAGGAGTAAAGTTTTCTCTCACTTACAGAACAAAAAAAAAAAAAAAAAACAAAAAAAAAACTCAACAAGTTTGGCTCAGACTTCAGGCTTCAGACTACAAGCCTGCAAAAAAGCTGAAGAAAGAGGATGAATTGAATCCTCTCCACAGCAATGAAGCTAAGGACTGTGACTTTCTTCTACTACTTCCCTCTTAAAGCCAGACCTAATTCAGGGAGCATCAAGGGAAACAATTCCTGCCTAAAATCTCTCTCCTGAAGTTCACATGAGTGACACACAAAGACTAGCACCCCTGTGTGCAAGGGGGCCCTTGCTCTTTTGTACCTAAGGTGCACGTTTACATGCCTTGGTTTCCCTTACTGGCCAAGGGTAGAGCAGCAGTGGGAACTTGATGGGTTCCCACTTATGAATGATATGACAGAAATCATTCTGGAGAGAAGAAATATAGCAGGGAACACGAACCAGTGCTGGGCCTTGGGTCACTGGGTGCCTCAGCAGCAGAGGAGCCAAGAGCCCAAAAGGTGGTAGAAGACCTAAAACACACAAACCCTTGAACAGAATATCCAGTAATGCACTGTAGTGTCTGTCCTGACCCTGCAGCCTGAGCTTGTATCCCTCCCCCATTCACTATGCAAGAAAAGTCATCTAGCACAAGGAAAGGCCTCAGCAACCTGGCTGTAGCAGGGCAAAAGTTAAGTGCATGCACATAAGCCCATCCACACACTCATCTGCGAATCTGTGTTACTATCCCAGGCTTACAAAATGTCTCCACATGGCAACATGTGTATCCATGGATAAGGCTCTAAGGGTAGGCTTCAGGTGCCCACTGCATCACAGTTCATGCTATTGCTCATGCCGCAGAATGTGCCTGCATCCTTAGGAATAAGAGAGAAATCATTTTGGAGAAAAGACTGTTCACCGGAAGTACTGGGCCTCGAAGGCAATGGAAAACTTTAAGGAAAGGATGGTCTCTCTTGAGATGTTGGAAAATATGGTCTGAGAACATTGGAAAGGCAGGAGGAGCTGAGGGCAAAGGAAGATTCCAATGAGTTCAGCTCTAGGGAACAGAAAGGAGTATTGTTCTCTGTGTAAGAACACTGGTACCCATTCCTGTGACATCATAGACTTGGGCAACAACAGGTTCACATAGAGCTACTAAGATTGCCTAAGGTGCATTCTCTAGAACCTCTCTCTCTCCCTCTTAACTATTAATAGGTCTGATGATCAAATAAATGTGGGAGTTTCTGGTGAAGTAAAATTAACTAAACTTATAGGATGACTAAAATTAATAAAAGTTTATTGTGTATTACAAAACTGCTAATAAGAGATTTAAAATGTGCTCAAAAATATAAGTATGTGAAGTGATAGATATCTTAATTAGCTTGGCTTAGTTATTCCACATTGGTATATGTGTATCAGAACATCACATTGTAACCCCACAAATACATTCACAATTATGAAGTAGCAATTAAAATTTAAAATCATGTTTTAAAATGTGATGATCTTCAATCCAATAACAAATGCTGGAGGGGATCTGGTGAAAAAGAAATTCTTCTCTACTATTGGTGGGAGTACAGACTGGTGTGACCACTGTGGAAATCAGTATGGAGATTCCTCAAAAACTAGACTTGAGGTCCCACTTGATCAAACTATTCCCCTTCTGGGTATCTTTCCAAAAGAATTAAAAACTACTACATCAGTGATATATGTGCACCAATGTTTAAAGCAGGATAAACTGGAAACTTTTATAGGTAAATGGATGCAACTTGAGACCATATGATTAGTGAAATAAATCAGACTCACATATGTAAACATCATATTGTCTGTCTGGCATGAGAAACTTTTCAAAGAGTAAATACGGTCTAAAATGTACAACAGATATTGTGAAATGGGAAGAAATTGTTCAAAAGGAATAAAGAACTACATGGTGGAAAGGGGAAAGGAAGGAAGGGAAAAGAGAAAAATAAAGTTAGTTATATTATTAGTATCTCTTAGTTTATAAAAAAGAAAGGTTTGTGCTAATATCAATTGGAGAATTTTTTATACCCATTATCTTGTACTCTGAGTAACTACTTTAAAGATAATATATTAACTATTGTTGTTCTCCTGTCATTTTGTTATGAAACTTTGTGTTTCCTTTTTCCATAAATTAAAAAATAAATGTGAAGATCTTCATAAGGCATTTAGCAGAGGATGTGGCCAATGGCTAGGACAGGCAGTGGTGGTGGTAGAGATGTTAGCAATAGTGGTTGTTCACAAAGAAAGAGGGAGATGGATTTTCTGATGTAGCAAACTCCCTAAAGAAGCCAGTTACAGTTTGGATGTGTTAGTGTGGGAGTGTCATTATAGTTTGAGAAAGAGAAGCAAGGGATATCTGGGCTGCATATCCAGGCCCTCACTACAGAAGGAAGAGGATCTAATTAAATTTCTCATTTCCAAGAAGCATTTCAGGGTGTTAGACTAACGATTTCAGATATTATCACTCATGTTTCAGAAATAAATCTTCCTTTGGGCACATAGAAACTGCAAACAGAGAAGAGAGTCTAATAGGATGAATGCTTACTTTTTCAAGTGATATCTCAAGCCTGACTAAGATGTGACAGCATAAACATTTCTGACCCAGTGGCTAAATAGCTGATACTTCTGCAAATTCATTTATTGCTCTCTGGAGATCTCTCAAAAGAACAGCAATATTTTGTTCTTTCCAAGATTCAAATGAAAATACCCCTCCTATGATGATTTTTAATGGGCATGTTCTTCATTTTTCACTTCCACTCAGCTCCCCCAGCAGCTTTGCTTCAAGTAACAGGCCACCATTCCCTCTCATTTCCATGCGGGGCACCCATCTGGAATGGAGTAGTGAAGAAAGATATTGCTCTTTCGGAAATCTCCCTCCCACATGAGGTATGTGAAATGCAGAACTGGTATTTTTAGCTTTAAATCTCTTTATCAGGAGTCTCTCATTATCTAAGTCATCTGTTCCGAAAAGCGTGCAGCCACATCAATAATTTTATGGCTTCCTTTGGATCTCAAGATAAGTTTAAGATCCATAAATTTTCTTCTGTGAATACCTCCCCTCAAAATTGACAACCTCTGGGTCATCCTTGGGGATGTCTGAAAAGCAATTGAAATTGTAACTCTTTTCTTTGTGCAGAATTTTAGCTACAATGATGGGTTTGATTTTAATCTTGTCCATTACATGTTCCCTTGAAACAATTTTGTTGAAAATCAAACATTTGAGAAGATATTAAGTGATAACATAACAAAAGCCTATAGGACATTGTGGCCAAGGTCTGTCATGCCCTATTTCTGCCACCTATAAACTGAAAAACCAGAGCAAGGTTTGGGATCTCTCTGCTTCTTTTTCCTCATCTGAAAAATGGGTATATGAAAGGACTCATATTTTTTACCACAAAGGCGTGGCAATTGTTGGAGGAGATAGATACGTTTACCCAGATTTGAACATTAAACAATATGTACACGTATTAAAACATCACATGGCACCCTGTAAAAAGGACAATTTTTCTGAATCAGCTAAAAATTTTTTTGAAAGATTCACCTCAAAGAACTGGTATGAAGATTAAACAAGTGGTAAGTAAGGAACTGAAAAGAGTGCTGAGCACTCAAACTTTAATTGTAATGCCATTAATATTAATAGCATTGATTGTAGTTAAATAATAGTAACATTATTATTCCTCAATACATGTAGCCAGTCTTATTCTGCTGCAGAAGTTTAAAAATTACTCTGTTCTTATACAATGTTTCCTGATAACCACTACATGAATGTTAATTCTACCACTTAATTGATTCTGCATGAAAAATACCAGTCCTTCAAATAAATACCCCTACCTTTACCTGTTTACCTCTTATCTCCATCAATAAGAACTTGCATGTGTTCAGGGTAAATGCTAAAAGCACATACCTCATGATAAGAATGCAGCTTTCAGTCACACAGCACAGGCCTCAGAGAGAGGGTTCCACTATTTTTTCATCGATTTTAGGATCTATTTCTCAAGGGTACATACTAAACATAGCAGGATTACCTATGTTTATTGTTAACATGACATAGCAGCACATGCAATGTCTACATCTCTGCAACATTTCCTTCATGTAGAGACTGCCGAGTAGTTGGCACAGTACAACAACAGAAACAAAGCTCTGTAAAGTTGATCAATTTATCCTACTTTGAGAATAAGAAAATAACTCAGTGTTGTGGTTTGAAAATTGGTGGTCAACTTAACGCCAGCTGGATTACATCAGCATACATTGAGAGAAGATGCTCCACCTGAGGAGGGTTTCCAGGATAAATAGGTGGAGAAGAAGAGAGCTGTTGAGAGGGACTGAGGCATTAAGGAGGCATTGTGGGTTCTCCTACGAGTTGCTGTCTGAGCTGTTGGTTTTCCTGGAGAAGTTTTGGTCCTCACATCGAGCATTGCTTCCTGACTCCGGAGGAGAAAACATGTGCTGCTTGGTCTCCAGGATGAACTTGTCACGCTGTTTCCTGGCACGTACCCGACTGTGCTTGTGGTCGGAGGAGCTCGGGGCCTCCGTGTCACTGAGGACAGCTGTGGTGCCTCTCAGGACAGCCCACTCTTTGTTGTGAGTGTGACTTCTCAGCTCCAGTATAGAACCCTCATCTCACTAGCACAGCTCCTTCATCCTGCTGGCATAGACTTTCTGGCTGCCACCGCTGACCCTTGGGTCTTCCCGGCACGGATCTGTAAAAGAGACTGGCCCCTTCTTGTGGGCTCTGGGCCTCCCGTTGGACTCGTGGGAGGCAATGTCCTGAGCTCTGGGTTTTTATCTGGACTCATGTGGGACATGTGCTGTGGGGTTTAGACCCTTGACTAAATAATCTATGTCTTTGGTGTTGTGGATAAATTTCCTGCATTTTCCGGTGTTAACTCCTGGTGATCATTATAAAAATATTATAAACTCCATGTCCTGATCTGAATTGTTCTCTGTGTACAACCCCTGACTACAACACTCAGTAAAGGAGGGAAGGTTACATATAATATGTTGACATCATATATTTTATATTATATAATTACATATTTGAAATTATACATTATTTAAACATAAATACATAATTGTACACACACATTCTGCACACCTAACATATAAATACACACATATGTGGTATACATAAAAAATAAATACTTGTTGCCTATGCAGCCAGCAGTGGGAAAATGATTAAATAAATAAATGTTGGGCTTGATTACCAGAGCTAGGATAAAGAGTTGAGCACTACCCACCCTAAGGTGAGTAGCCTGGATAAAATATAAGGGGCAGGAAGAGGGCTACTGTTGTTTGGTGCTCATCATTTGTGGCTTATTGTTTGTCTTGCTGCCTTCTCCCTTCTGTCTGCCATGAACAGTTTTTCTTCTGCAATGTGCCTGTGCCACGCCACCCTGCCTTGGAGCCAGCCAACTATGAACCGAAACCTCTACGAACTTGCAGCTAAATAAATCTTTCCTCCTTTAACCTTGGGTGCTGGGTATTTTGTTCCAGCAATGAGAAGAATAACTAAGAAAATTTTCAGTCAAAGGAAAAATTAGGAGATGTAAATGTCATTAATAAGGAAATCATCAAATACATTGTGATGCATACAGGCTACCCAAATTATGCAGCACCATTAAAAACAATCAGGAAAATATATGTATTGATAGATGAAGATATCTAAGACATATTGCTAAGTGAAAAATGCAGGTCTCAGGTCAATCTGCAAAATTACATGCCCTTAAATACAACTGAGAGTCTGTGTGTGTGTGCATGTGTGAATATATGTGAAAGTACAGAGTCAAAAATTTGAAAGGTTATGTCCTAATTATTAATAAGGATTACATCAAGGGAGAGAAAAGTGTGAGATAGCTAAGGATGGCCAAGATCTACTCTATTTCCCTCTTTATCATTGGGAGGGGGGGCTAGGGATTTAGCTCAGCGGCATACGCACCTGCCTGGCAAGAATGAGGTTCAATCTCTGGTACAAGAAAAAAAAGTTAGAATTTTTTGGTTTTATAGTTTAATAATTTTGAATGCTATATTATCACGCCTACTTTTTTAAATGAACACGCAGAGATGGGAGAAAAAGCAACTTATATTTGAAACAGGGCCTATTGACAATGTTTTTATATATTCTGATTCATTTCCTTTATAGTTGGCATATTATTGAAAGGAAAAATCAATCAAAATATGTGAGATGATAATGGTTGTTTGTTGTTACCTATTTTAGTGGATGATACAGGTGCACACTTCAAATCTTGCCAGTCAATACTCCCTCCCCTAGTTGTTATTAGTGTTACCAAGATGCATTAGCTAGAGTTCACCAAAGGAACAGGTATATGATATATATGACATAATATAATACACATGATATAACATATATGATATAAATCAATGGTGGTGAACCTATGGCACACATGTTACTGTGTTCTTAAGACAAAAGATATTAACATATGAGTTGTTTTTTTCTAAACTAAAATCTCAGTATTTGGGTTTAATTGCAGTGCTGGCACTTTGTGATAAATTAGTGAGTTTTGGGTTGCAGTTTGGATGCTCAGTCTCCAAAAGGTTTGTCATCATTGATATATACAATTTATAAAGAATTTTACCAAGTAAGCTTACAATAGCCACCTGTACAGTCAGAGATAAAAGAACACCAAATAGCCATTTGCTTGCTAGAGATTCAAAAGATCCAGTCCAAAGCGGAAGGCCTGGATATCAGAGTCCACTGTGAGTCTGTTGGAAAGTCAAAGGGTCTGCACTGGAAGGCTGAAGGGTCTGTGCTAGATGCCTAAAGAAACTGTAGACAACATCCAACAACAATGGCAAAGGACAGAGCTCCTCCATAAAAGTCCAAAGGGGTCATCCAGAATACAAGCCTATTGGCTGGTGCTGCCTACATGTGGGTGGGTCTTCCCCCCTGGTTTGCAGCTAACATGTCAGTCATCCACACACATTCCCGGAACACACTGCACTAGCACACTAGGCATTGCTCAGTCTGTTCAAGATAACAACACAATGAACTATCATAACAGACAACTATCAACTGCCCCCTTTTCCAAGGAGCTGTCTCACTGTTTCCACCCTGCCTCAGGAGTAACTCTCAGCCATGATTCAACTAACTCAGATACCAAGGCTGGCCTCCAGATGGAACCAATTCTGTAATTTATATCAAGAACTCAAGAATTGGACCAAAGTTGATGTATATGGAGACCACGTGATTACTTAACTTCTTCCCCAGAGCATCGGTCAGATTTCTCTAAACAAACAGAACAAACAAGAGAATATATTGTATCAAAGCAGGAAAGAGAAGGGAGGGGAAGGGAAGGGAAGGGAAGGGAAGGGAAGGGAAGGGAGGGGAGGGGAGGGGAGGGGAGGGGAGGGAAGGGAAGGGAAGGGAAATGAGAGAGAGAAAGAGAAAGGAGAGAGAGAGAGAGAGAGAGAGAGAGAGAGATTGAATTGGCTCACATAAATTATAAGGCTAAAAACTCCCAACATTTGTAATGGAAAGCTGGAGACCAGGACAGGTGAGGGTGTGACTCCTGACTGAATCCAAAAGGCCTTAGGGAGGCAGTGGTGTCAGTTCCAACCCAAGCCCATATCAAAAGACAGAGAAAACGGATGTCCCATCAGGCAGAGAGTGAATGTACTGTCCAAGCATTCAAGGCACAGGACGAGGCACCCCAGTGAGGAGGGCCACCTGCTTTCCTCAGTTTACTGAAACCAGTGTTTCAGCCTCACCCTCACTCACAGTGTCACCCAGAATAACGATTAACCAAATATCCTGGTAGCTTTCTCTCGTGTGCCTTCTCCCAAATATATTCCCTCAACAAATCACATAAACAAGGATCCCACTAGGGAATATGATTTAAGTCACTTAAGTCATTTAAGTCAAAAGTACTAAGCAGCCATATTATTTTCTAATCCTCATGGCATTAGGTAGAACCACATTTTGAGAAGCAATCGACCTTAACAATTAAAAGAATGGAGTTTAAGGTTAGGGATTTAGCTCAGTGACATAAGTGCCTGTCTGGTAAGTATGAAGCTTTGAGTTTGACCCCTAGTACCAAAAAAAAAAAAAAAAAACCATAAACAAACAAACAAAAAAAACCAACCCAATAAATAAATAAAGTCCAGAGTTTGAAATAAGATGTACCTTACTTTATGACCCAGGTTCAAAATATATATGCCAGCTGGGTGACCTCAGACCATTCACTCAAGTTCTGTTTCCTCAACCTTAAACTCAAATCTTGCTTATTAACTCATTTTTTAAATTTTAAGTTTTTGGGGGGTACCTGGGATTGAATTTACAACCTCATGCCTGCCAGGCAGTGCTTGTGCCACTGAGCTAAATCCCCAGCCCTTCATCAACTTTAAAATAGGGATCATTGTGGGGCTCTGATGCTTAATTTGTTGTGAGGACTCAACTGGCTTCTTGATAAGTATTTGTCTGGTGCCTAGAAGAAAATAATACACGTAGCGTTCATAAATCAGTACTGGGTTCGGAGTAAAAACTCAACAAAGACTGTCTAAAGAGAGCCAGTACTGACAGTGCCTGTAATCTCCATATTTTGGAGACTGCAGCAGGAGGATACCATGAATTCAAAGCCAGCCTGCACTATGTAGTGTCATAAAACAACAATAAAAGAAAAAGCTTGTCTAAAAAATATTCAGGTGTCAGTGAGAGCCTGATGTCTGTCAGCTCACCAACACAGACATAAAAACCAGGCCCCTCGCACATTTTATACCACACACAACACCTGTCACAAGTATCAGTGAGTTTTCCAGACTGTGTCAAAAATTGGACCAGGAGCAAGGAAAGACAATCAAACCTCCTTGAGAACACGAAAAGTAAAAAAGTACTCACAGCACAGCAGCACCCGCCACTTTAATCATTTAGGGAGCAGCACAGTTTCTACACCGTCGCCTGCCCCGCCATTGCACCGGCCCCTTTGCCTTCATGCTCCCTCCTTATTTTCTCTGCCTGCCTTTCTTCTCACGCCAGCCTTCTTCCTCTTCTAAAAACAATGGAGTTCTCCCAGTACAAGCTACCTTCCAGCTTCAGCTCCCTGATTTCTGCAACCAAATCCCAGGGACTAAACAGGAAAGGGGACATCCCACCCTCTGACAAAGCTCTTATGTATAGTTCCCAAAGAGGAGAAAGTTGGCCTTCATTTTACCTGTGAAGAAGTTGAGACTGAGAGAAGTCAGCTGACAAGCCCAGGTGAAAAGGAAGAGGTAGAATTTGAACCCAGGCCTGCTTAATTCCACAGTCAGTGTTCTCAAATGTTGTATTACCCCCAAAAGTCCCCAAGAGGCCACTTGGCAACATTCAAGCCCATGGCAACAATCTGTACTATCACCTCAGCCAGATGTCCCTCAGAGATGCCAGAGCTTTGAAGGGGCCTGGGTAAAAACAGCATGAATTATTCAGCATGATTTCTCAGTCCCATTACAGAAACAATGCAACAAACACAAGCTCCTATCTTCTGCGAAGAGGCGATTTTCTATTCAATGGAGATGCCATATTGTTTTTATTTTATTTCTTCAGGCAAGTTGTTTGTGCCTACCAGCTCTTAGACTCTCTTCAACTTGGAATGGGAGAATGGAATAACTCAGTGCATAATGGAATACTGTTCAGGGAGTATTTGATGATTAACTAAATGAATGACAGTGTTTCAGTGGTATGCAGCAGATGGTGAATAGTGGGAGGCATACAGGCCAGAGTGGGTAGACATCTATTGTTGAAGAAATTTCACTCTCAGTATCATTTGAACCCAAAGAAGGTGAATGCCATCTTCCTCTCTTCATAATGGTCCCACAGATCCAGACCCATGCCCATTTTACCACCTGTTTTGAGGACTAATTTATTTGAAAGGACAAAGTATTTGCTTTTGTTTTATTCGGTTTTCAAAGGAATTCCTTAGTCATTGAGTTATTTCAGGCCCTAACAAAAAAGGAAAGAATTTTCAAATGACAGTGAGCTAACAGCTTCAATAGCATTGATCTAAGACCAGTGGCTTTGAAAACACCAAGCAAGAAACACTCTTACCTTGGCAAAATAAGATCAAGGGCTGACATCAATCCTTCCACACATCAGTGTTATACTCCATCACTGCCATCCTGGAAGCATTTGCAAAGGGAGAAATATACAGTGGCAAAATGTTAAATTGTGAAACTCCAGAGTAAAGGTTAGTGACTCTCTTAAGGTCACTGCTCCCTCAAGTGTCTTTATGACCTCATGAAATCCCCTCCCTCGATGAATTTCCTTAAAATTACAAGAACCTGGTAGACAGTCAGTGGCTTAAAAGAATTTTCCCATGACATTTAGCCTGTTTTCAACTCAAAGATGCCACAAATAAGTAGTAGCTTTGAATAAGTCACTAAATGCCTGCAAGTCTCAGGTCCTCCTGGATAAAATGACACTGGCATCTATACTCTCCAAAGCTCTATCTTAACCCATTTAGGCTGCTACAATAAAA